CTTCCAATCCTTTTCTATCCACATATCCCTCTAACCTTTCTATCATACTCCTCATTTCCCCTTCTCCTTCTGCCAATAACACCACATCGTTCGCATACGCCAACCTATAAATCTTCCTGTCCCCTAGCTTCACCCCTCCCCATTTAACCCTCCTCATTTCCTCCTCCAAATCCGCTGTCATGATGTTAAACAACAAGGGGCTCAAAGGGCACCCTTGTCTAACCCCCCTTGCCGTCCAAAAACATCCCCCCACCTTCCCTTCCCCTCCCCTCACCCTGCATTTCGTCTCCCACATAATCTCTCCTACCCTCTCTATTAAACCCTCCCTAACCCCCCTCTTCCTCATCTCCTCCAACAAAACCCCCCTATCCACCGAATCAAAGGCCGCCTTTAAATCTACAAATAACGTAATTAATTTCCCCCCTTTTTTCCCTAACTACCTGTCCACCAAATAATTTATCACATAAATATTATCTAAAGTTCCCAACCCTTTCCTAAACCCCGTTTGATTCGGTGGAATCATACCTTTTCCTTCTATTTCCTCCCTCAACCTTTCCGCCAACACCGCTGTGTACACCTTGTATAACGTCGGCATAATTGAAATCCCTCTATAATCCCTAACATCGTTCCCCTGACCTTTCTTCTTCACTGGCACTACCATTCCCTCTTTCCATAACTCCGGCCATCCCTCCCCCTTCCATACCTCATTACACATTTTCCATACCCATTCCTCTAACCCCTCTCCACCATACTTCCACACCTCATTCGGTACCCCATCTACCCCCATAGCCTTACCATCCTTCAGGTTCCTCGTCACCCTCCTTATCTCTTCTCTACTTATCTCCCCCTCTCCCCCCTTTCTTCCCCCTTCCCCCATCCCCCTCACTACTCTACTCCCCCTAACAATTCTCTGAAATATTCCTCCCATTCCTGCATTGCTATCCCCTTATTTATCCCTCTCACTCTTTTCCTCTTCTCATTTACAATCTCCCAAACCTGCCTCTCATTCTTCGCCAGCTCCACTTTCCTTTCCCATTTCTCATTCTCTTCTCTCTTCTTCAACTCACAAATCTCCTTATATTCCCTCCTCTCCTTCCTGTAATCCCGTACTTCACACCGTCCTTTCCTCCATTCCCTTAAAACCCTTCTCACTCTCCCCTTCTTCTCTCTACACTCCTCATCCCACCAACCTCTACACCTCTTCCCCTTCCTTCTCTCTTTCTCTATCCCCCCTATTATCTCTCTAATTCTTCCCTCAGTTTCCATTAAGCACTCCAACCCTTTTCCCTCCCTCCACTCTACCGCCCCCAATCTCTCTCTAAACAACTCCCTACACTCTTCATCCCAAATTCCTCTACTTGCCCCTCTTCCCCCTTTACTCACCCTCCTCTCCTCCCCTTTACCTTCTTTCCATGTTATAATAAGTGGATGATGATCCGAATCTATTTCTCCCCCCACTTCCAAACTTTCAATCCCGTCACCAGTCTCCTCTTCCACCAGAATATAATCTATTACAGACTCCCCCCTCCTCCCCGTATACGTCCAATTTCCTTCCTCGTCCCCCCTTATATCCCCATTCAATATATACCACCCTCTCCCCTTTATACTTTCTACCAGCCTCCTCCCCATTCTATTTACCTTACCATCCTTAGATTTCCTCCTCTCTTCATCCATCCCCTCTACCTCTTCCCTTACCCTTCCTCCTTCCCTCCCCGTTCTTGCATTAAAGTCCCCCCCTATCACCGTTTTTATCCCATCTTCCTTTCCCTCCATCCAATCCGCTAACCTCTCCAGCTTCCCCTCCAAATCCATGTTCACATATACCCCCACCATCCTCACCCTATCCCTACCTACCTTCACCAAACCTGTCATCATCCCCTCCTCCTCCTTTCCCCCACACTCCCCCCCCTACAACTCCTTTCTAATCCCCAGCACCATCCCCCCCATTGCTCTCCCTTTCTTACTTCTCCTCTTTGCATCCTGCACCCTCCACACATACCCCTCTGGCAATCTCTCAATTAGCTTCTTTCCTCCCTTTTTCTCTACCCATGTCTCTAGCAGCACCATCGCATCCCATCTCCTCAAGTTTACCCAAAACTCTCTATCTTTGTTTCCCAACCCTGCCACGTTCCAGAACGCCATTTTCACCCCCTCCCCCAAACCCTTTCTCCCACCTCCTCCCGTCTCTTTTGCCATCTTTCCCTCCTTGCCCCCTCCCACCTCTTCTACCCTTTCCACCCTTCCGTCTGTATTTACTCCATCACACACTTTTTCCACCCCCTTCCTCACCATCCCTCCTCTAACCCCTCCCCTTACCCCTCTCCCGCTTTCTCCTCCCCTTACCTCCCTTTCCCTCTTCCCCCTACCTATCCTTCCTTCCCACCCTTTCCATCCGCCCTCCCCCCTTCCCCTGGCCACTCATTTCCCCTTCCGCCCATATTCTTCCTTTCCCATCATACAACTCTTCTTTCTCTTCGTCCCATCTCCACCACACCCCCTCCATCCAAATCCCCCCTTGTCCCAATCTAGCCCTCCCTCCTTCCTTCCTTACTATCTGCCTCATCTTCCAATGCATTTTCCTCTCTTTCCACGTCCTATCCTCTTCTATCCAAATCTCTGAGCCCTTCAATTTCCCTTTACTATTTAATACCCTCCCCCTCTCCTCCTCACTCCTTAATGTTACCACCCCCATCCAACCCTTTTCTTTCCTCCCCGCTTCCACCTTCCTTATATTTACGATCTCTACTCCCACCTCTAAATTCTCCAAAATCTCCCTTATCCTACTTTCTATCCCCCCTTTTCCCTCCTCTATCCCCCTTATTATAATGTTCTTTTTTCTCTCTACTCTCTCCCTCCATTCATTTTTCCATTCAAGCCTCCTTAACCTCTCCATCCAATCTCCTCTTCCATACCCTCCTTCTAACAATCTTCGTTCTCCCCCCCCCATATTTCCTTCCTTTCCCTCTCCTTTTACTAAATCCATTTTTTTCATCTTACTTTCCATCTCTTTCATTCTCCCCATCAAATCCTCCCTCTCTTTCCTCCACCTTTCCTCTCTCTCCTTCATCTCATTTTTTAACCCTTCCATCTCATTCCTTGTCCAATCTTTCTGTTCATCCACTATCTCTCTCAGCTCTTTTCTCAAACCTACCAACAAACCCTCTCCCAAATCTCTCCCCATTTCCTCTAAGGAGCCCTTCACAAACTCCCTCCATCCCTTCTCCCACTCCCCCCCTTTCCTCTCCGGAGATCTCACCGTCTTTTTGCTGCTCTTGAATATATCCTCCCTCTCCCCTCCCCCTCTTCTTCCCCTTCCCCATCCCTCTTCCTTTTCATATATTTCTCTAAGTCCCCCGTGCTTCCCCTCCTTTCCCTCTCTGTCTTGAAAAACTTTTCCATCCTTCACCCAATATCACTTATCTGCTCTCTCCGCACTATCTATGCCTCTTTACCGATCCACTCGCCTTGAGAATCTGCCTTTAACCAGTCTCCCAACTCTAGAACAGACTTTCCCTCACTCCCTGCCTTCCTACGTAATTCCCGAGCGCCTACCTCGCCACACTTCCTAACCTCAATCTCACACTTTTCCCTCTCCTATGCCCTACCACCTTCACCCCGCCACACACCCTTATACACCCTTCTCACTCACTTCCTTCTCCTTCACCTCCACTACTCTCTCACATTCACACCGCTTCTATTCTCCTCTCACTCTCACTGCTCTGCTCTCACCCAAAAAAAAACACCTCTATATTATAACTGCGCCGGAACCGGAAGCCCGATATTTATCATTAGTAAATGTTCAAATATCGTTTAAAGTTTTAATCGTATATTTATAAATTTTGAACATATTAAGAGTATGCCTCTTTCACACACATTAGTATATTATTTATTCACACAGATAACATAAGTCGCACCAGTGCGTGATAATTTACGAAATATTATTACAATTGTCGGCGCGCAGTTTGAAAAAGACTACAATATGGTATATATGCAAGTACATATATAGTACATATATAGTACATAATAATATTTGAAATGTAATTCAAGATTGAATTATTTAAGAGACGAAGATCCAGCTTCGACCGTATAGGCATTTTAAATTTCTAGTATTGATTGTGTTTCTCACATATACGGTCTAAAATAAAGATATTTTTTGTGTTTGTGCTCGTGTCGTACTGGGAGAGGTAAGTCGTGCTAATTATGTAATCGGATAGTATCGAACACTCTTTATTTCGAAAGAACAAATCGGGGTGAGATTTGTAATCGCCTCAAGAAAATGTAAATCTAAGAACTAAAAACTAACTGAGAACGGATCCTACCGAAAGTACGCTAGCGATTGGTTGGAATATAGAGTGCGTTCGTTCATACAAAAGTGAGCTCATACATAACAACATTGTTACAATTTTCTCCGTGTGGCCTATATTTATATATCGCATTTGTAAAATGTAATTAATCGGTGTGACTGAGCAAATAAAAGGGTGGCACCCAATTGTACACGGCTCAATTGGACACGAGCCACTCACAGCGCTTGAGACTACAAAGCTCCTAAGCACCGGTCGCTGTGATTGGTGGTGTCCAATCGAGCCGTGGTCACCCCCAAATAAAGTACGCTGACAGAGTCCCACGCGCGAATCCTGCCTTCTTTTTTTTCGTGGTATATTTTTGCGATATAAGTGGTTGAATTAATTATCAATAAACGTATAAGGTCAAACAATATGCTCTTATATAATTATTGCAATTATTCGCATACTTTTAAACTAGCAACTGTAGGGAGAATAATGATTCTCGACGTGCATGATATGCGTCAAACTTAATGATGAAAGATTTTTATATGTAAATTAAATTTGTAAATTTATGTGTAAATTAAATTTTTTTCTTTAAACGATCCGAAAAGAAATTATATTTTGTCATGATGTTGTGCCTATCAAATGCGCTTAGTGTTGATCGATACTTTGTTTTAAATACTTTTTTTAACTATCATCCGAACTTAAATGCAAATTCTGATAATGAAGAAAATTACAAAAGCGAAATTATTTATATAATTATAAAGATGATGCCAATGTAAGTTTGTGAAATGTACAAAATAAATGCCTTTATGTGTGTAATTTTAAAATAATTCCTTGTCTATTGAAAAACGAATTCTTCCTACAGTTGTTACAGATACACACGAATAAATTCAATAATTACGTGAAAATGTGTTTGGCTTAATACGTTTACTATTAACGTCTACTATTACAGTTATTTCAGAAAAATCTATGAAAAAAAGGAAAAAATCAGCTTGATCACGCCAATTAGTTACGTTTCTGACTTATAAACTTATGGTATATAACTTCCATGGAAAATTAATTTTAAATAATTAATATTTCGTTAGCGATTACGTTTTGAAATGATTTATACCATTGTGGATTAATGGGAGGGGTATATGATTATTACAATTTATTAAATGTCATATGTTATCTAGAATGTCTCCATGCCTCTTGACACGCCGAGCGCCCGAGAGAACATATTTCGGTCGCTTGAGTGAAGCTATGAAAGCGAAAGCAGGTTCTCTCTCAGCGCGCCGACAAGGCCAAACAATGAGAACGAGTGCGAAAAGGTTGGCGATATAGCCGGCATGCTTCTAACTACCAAGCCACACGAACACGGGCTCGTGCTTGTGTTGTTATCGGTTGTGCCAGACCGCCGCCTGATGGCGTTAGTCTCGATGTCGTAAACCGTCACTGGTCTGGTATCCCTGCTTAGGAGGCCTCAAGATCAGAGGATCGGGCCCTAGTAGGACCAGTGCTC